GGGGATAATTTCTGTCAGCGTTTGTCTGCATGAAAGTCTTTGTCCGGATTGTAGTTTTCCTGGGAAAAGAATTATAGGTGGGCAGTTTCTTCTAATTTGATCTGGGAACACCCATCTCTCTGTTGCTGTGTAGGAAATATGTCCCTTAACCAGGCACCAGTGGCTCACACCTGTCATCCTAGCTACTCAGGAGGCTGAGATCTGAGGATCACAGTTCAAAGCCAGCCCGGGCTCTACCACCTCAGCTACAGCTCCACTTCCAGCTTTTTTGGGCTAATTGGAGATGAGTCTTTTGCACTTTTCTGACTAGGCTCTAAACTGTGGTCCTCAGAGCTCAGCCTCCAGCTAGGGTTACAGGTGTGAGCCAATGCACGCTGCTTCTGTTCCATTTTAAACAGCACTGCCATCTCTTGAAGACCATTTACCGGAGCTGGGAAGGTGGCTCAGTGGTAGAGCGCTTGCCTTGCATGCCTGAGACCCTGGGTTTGATTCCTCAGCACCACATAAGCAAAAAGAAAAAAGTCGGAAGTGGCGCTGTGGCTCAAGTGGTAGAGCGCTAGCCTTGAGCTGAAGAGCTGAGGGACAGCGCCCAGGCCCAGAGTTCAGGCTCCATGACTGGACAACCCTCCCCCCCAAAAAATAAAAACAAAAAGACCATTTACCTTTTCTTTGGTGATATTCAGCCCAAACAGTGCAGCTTTCATCACTAGAATTTGGATTTGTGTCTTAAAATATCTTCCATGTTTCTTTTAAATACACTCAATTTTGGCTCTAGCTTGTTTTTCAAATGATGTGATGCAATGATAGCTATTGTCAAAGCATCTGCTAATTTTGGTTGTTTGTGTTCCTTGGTTATAAGTTGTGTGTGTGAGTGTGTGCATCCTGGTATTTTCCAGTTGTATGCCAAGGGCAGTAGACATGGCCTGCTCTGCAGGGGCCGCCTTGTAATCCTGCACACATCTGAGCTGCAGGTAAGTTGCTTAGAGTCTGGCCAGTCTTTCAGGGCTTGCTTAGAGCTTTGAGACCAAGAGATGTTTATTCTAGTGTTAACCTTTCCTCGCTGTGGAAATGTTAATATAAACTGCACTTTGTGTTGAATAGAACTACTGATATTCTTGGATTTAAGTTTACCATTTTGCTATATTTGTAATATTTATTCTTCCTCCTTCCCTGCCTGGCTTGGACACAATTACCATTTATATTAATTATCTCTTGGCCACTGTTCTCCCTGGAGGGCTTAGCATATGCATCTCTAGGTTTTCATAGTCCGTTATCTTCAAATAATATCAATCACCTGCATGGATCCAAATTACTGCATGTTATTCTTTTAATTCTGCCTGGAGGAGTGGCTGGTTGTGGACCGATGGAATGGGTCACTGCCACTGTCCACAGCTTTCTGTCTAACATGACAGAGGCAGGCCAATAAAGGCTTCAGAGAGCTGGGGGTGGGACTGGAGCCTTGGGAGCCTGGCTGTCCTTGGCACTGGCTGAGGTCAAGGAACCACAGCGGTGGTGGAGACAGAGGACAGAGAGGGGAGGAAACTTCTGGTTGCTCTCCTGGCTTGGTAGGTGCTGAGCCCCCACAGCAGTGGCTGGAGGTCACTGTCATCCGGCATCACGCCCTGTCCTGTACAGTGAGCACTCACCCCAGAGCTGTGGCCCACCAGTCCTACACAGCCCACCTACCACTGCCCTCAACCAGGCCCTGCCCATCTGTCCTGCACAGCCGCGCCTACCCGGCCTTGGAGGCCCCGCCCACCACTGTCCTTGGAGCCCCACCCACCAGTCCTTGGAGGCAGGCCCACTACTGTCCTGTACTAGGCCCCGCCCACTAGTCCTGCAAGCCCCACCCACCAGTCCTTGGAGCTCCTTTCCCACATCAGCGGAGGTTCTGGAGCAGGGGCTGAGCACAGGCTGGAGGAAACAGGGCCGGCTCACCCTCGCCCTGGTTTGGCTTCAGTTCCCCCAGCAGTCTGAATCGCTGGAATGACTTTCCTGTCTGCTGCTAGGGCACCTGGGCTGCAGGGCTGGCTGTGTTTGGAAGCTCAGGGCGGAGGTGGGTCCCTGACAAGCAGACATCCCCGAGGACCCTGCCTGCCATGGAACAGGGCAGCGGTGTGAAAGTACGTGGTACCTGTCTTCATTAAGGAGAAAAAAGCAACCCAAAGCTTACGCACGTGTGCTCAGTTTCAAAGGCGCTACTGAGTAAAAATCACAACTGCCAAGTGTGGCTAGAAAGGTAGCTCAGAGGTGGAGCGCTTGCCCTGCAGGCTTGAGGCCCCAGGTTCCATTCCTCAGCACCACATACACCGGAAAAGCCGGAAGTAGTGCTGTGGCTCTAGTGGTAGAGCACAAGCCTTGAGCACCGAGAGGCTCAGGGACAGCACAGCACCCAGGCCCCGAGTTCAAGCTCCATGACTGGCCAAAAAACAAAAAAAACCCACACAAAAAAACAAAACCGGCAAGGAATGCATAAACGGAGTGAAATTGCCAACACACTCGTACACTCGGGCCTGGCGGCCATTCCTCGGGACGTCCAGTCCCAGGCATTTGCCTGGGCATCATCACATCCTCACCTTTGGTCCTGGAAGCCGCCGTCTACCAAACCTCCATCTCTGAGGTTTGACTGAAGGTTTGACCCCCACCCTGTCCTCCCAGGAGCAGGCATGAGGCGAGCCCGGCTGAGCACAGCAGCCTGACACGGGCAGGGCGACCCCCCCCCCAGCCTGCCTGCTGACCGTCCATTGTGCTGACCGTCCATTGTGGGCCTAGCCCTTACGGCTCTGAGGCCAGGAAAGGGTTAAGAGGCTGGAAGACTAAAAACTATCATGTGAAGGTCAAGCTGTGTAGGCCAGACAGACGTAGAGCCGTTTGAACACTGAGCCCTGGATAAGGGACTACTTACCCTAGTCTTTGCCCGAACCGTGCAGCAGCGCCACACCAAACACGTCTCCCTGCTCAGACCCTATAGAACCCTGGACTCCACCCCACGCCCCATCCCAGCGGGAAGGCCGTGCCTCCGCTGTGTAGCTCCGTGAACAGTCCTCACCTGTGAAGACTGAGTCTGGCCCGTTTCCTTCCTCTCCTCCATGTTCCTAACAGTGACACCTCAGCTGTTTCTCTTCTGTTTCTAAATCTTTTACAGGTTCCATGGGGCTGAATGTAAGATCCATTTTCCTTTCAAGAAAAGTGTGTTAAAGGCACCTGTGCATAAAACAGAGCAACTACGAATCAAATCACCAGGAGCAGGTGAGTCTGTGTTTGTTACTGTCTGCAGTTTTTGTTGTTGTTGGTCGTGGAGCTTGAACTCGAGGTCTGGGCGCTGTCCCTGAGCTCTTCAGATTGAGGCAAGCACCACTTCTGGTTTTCTGGTGATTTAATGGAGATAAGAGTTTCATGGATTTCCCTGCCTGGGCTGGCTTTGAACTGTGATTCTCAGATCTCAGCCTCTTAAGTAGCTAGGATTAAAGGCGTGAGCCATGGGCACCTGACTATATATTTTTTTGTTTTTGGTGTTGGTACTGAGGCTTGAACTCAGGGCCTTGGCATTGTCCCTGAGCTTGTTGGCTCAAGGCTAGTACTCTAGCACTTGAGCCACAGCTCTACTTCTGGTTTTTTGGTGAATAACTCTTGAGGGTCTCATGGCCATTCCTGCCTGGGCTGGCTCCCAACAGAAATCCTCCTGAGTAGCTGGGATTACAGGTGTGAGCCACCAGCGACCGACTGTCTGTAATTCTGAAGCCCTCCAGGGCTCTTTTCAAGCTACCATGAAAGCGTTGTCTTTCCAACACAGCTCAACTACAGTTTCTAGACTTTTCTACAAACAGAAATCTCATTTCTGTTGGTTCTCCTGTCAGTTCTCCTGTCAATCAAGTGCTGAAACAAACACGCCTTCAGTACGCAAGACTTTACGTTGTTTATTCCACTGAAAATCTAGTTTTTTACACGGACCCGTCCCGCAGCCCCGCCCGCTGTACACATTCACAGTCCTGATGCGTGACCGGAGGTCACTGAGAGAAGCGGAGTCAGGAGGAGCAAACATCGATTCCGGGCCTGCGTCTCAGAGGTGGCATTTCGTGAGAACCCCTTCATCTGCAGGCCCGTGGGAAGGGGGGCTGGGCCCCCGAGTATCTTAGTTATTACCTCCGTCATTGCTCCTTTGTCAGTTTTTTTTTTAAAAAATGAATTTTATGCATTCTCTAATTATAAAAACACCCACTATTAGCTACCAAGGCTGCATTCAAACATCTACAGCCCTCAGGCCCAGGGTGCCGGGCCGGCCCGAGACCGCGCTGTGCTGTCCCGCAGCAGTGTGTGCTGGGTGGCTGGGGTTCGGGTTTTCTGCCGGTCTCCTGGGGGGGGGACGCATGCCAGGCACTCAGCAAGGAGGCTGCGTGCATCAGTCCCCGGGCTCACTGGCCATAGGGCCATTTCTATAAAAATGCCCCAGTGGAACCTCCAATTCATCTTAGGAATAAGTTCCAAACCTAGGCCATGTAAGGAAACAGATCAAATCCACTCCACCTTTGTGCTTCAAGGGTGGGTTTCTGTGTCATCAAAAGCGACAAAGCCAGGTAACTTCAAAGGGATCCCCGTGTTGGCAGAGACGTGGCCGGTGGCTGCCGCCCTGCAGGGAGGAACTGGCTGCACTCCTCACTCAGAGTGGCTGCTTCGTCCTAAGTGGCCACAACGCTGAGCAAGAGAAAGCGGTGTGGCTTCCAGGGCCTGGCCAGGGAGAGGCTGCGGTCAGCTGCCGGGAGGGGGGAGCAGGTGGACGGGCGACCGCATGGCCCTTCACCATCGGCTTTAATCCCATGAAGCAGATCTCAGTGTATGGAAACAGAAATACCAAACGGGTCACATTTATAAAAAAGAGAGGGATTAAAAAGGCTCAAGGAGAGCTCAGAAGGTGTCAAAGGGCTGGGGTCCATGCGGAAGGGACGGACCCCACCACACCCCCCACTCTGTAAATAAATGTCCTCTGGTGCTCACAAGAGAAATGAAGTAGAAAAACAAGTTTCTCTTTTTTTTTAAAAAAAGTTGAATGTTTTCCAAAGTACCTAAATGAGGTTTATAAAATACTCATGAGCTCCACACAAATATAGAAATGCTTAAAAAACTGGGTGATGGCCCCACGCCAAGCCCACGGGTGGGGAGGGGGCCACGGGGCGGCCGGGGCCGCAGTCATGCGCAGAGGAGCGGCACGTGCGCGCCCGGCCGCCGCCCAGCCCGGGAAGGAATGCTGGAAAAGATGGATGGACACTCAGAGCTGGAGGCTGCCAGCCGGCGCAGTCCCGACCCACGGGAGACCCGCACTCCGCGCGGCGCTGCCCCAGGCTCCCCGCGAGCACAGCACACGGTGTTTGCACGCACTGGGCTCAGAAACACCTCACAAAGAAACAGTGTCCGGAAGCTTGGGCGCAAACAGCATGCGGCCTGGGCCCGCGGCCGTGGGGGCAGCGTCGGGCCTCGGTCCGTCTCCCAGCCTAGTCCAGCTTCTTGCAGGAAGGCCTGCTCCCCACGCCCGGGCCGTCGGGGCTGAAGTCAGCACAGAAGCCGTTGGGGATGGGGGCTGCTGGCGTGTGCGTGCAGCTGTCCCGCCGGGTCTGATCCGGATACAGGTAGTCCTCTGCGAAGCTGGGGACCATCTCTGCAAACCTGCTGAAGTCAGCTGCGGTGACAAGAGCATCTCTGGTTACTGGGGCCCCGGCCCTGGGGGAGCAGCGGCCCCAGGGAAAGGGGGGTGGCGGGGAGCAGCAGCCCGGGGCGGCGGGGAGCAGCAGCCCACAGCTCATGGCCCAGGCTCCCCGAGCTGACGTGAGTGTCCGCGTCCCACTGCCCGGTCGTGGAGCATCTAGACTGGCACCGCTTCCTCCACTGCACACTAAGTAGCTGTGAAGACAAGGGGTCGGCCGCTGGACGCCTGTGGTGTGGGGGTCTGGGCCAGGGCCAAGGAGCAGGCAGGGGCCCGCCGCCCAGAGGCCGTGCTTGCCCGAGGGGCGTCCGTAGGACCAGATGGCCGCCCCTGCAGCCCCGAGGGTCTGCACTGACCTTTGCACTGACCCCACTGAGGGCCGGCACCCCAGCAACTGCCCACGGCCCCATGAGTAGGCTGGCGACGCTGAGAGGCACGCGTGCACGGCAGAGGCCGGGCGGTGGGAACCTGCAGAGCGTGCGGCCAGCACACCATGGGCGCCACCTGACACACGCACACACACGCACACACCAGCTGACACACACACACACCAGCACACCATGGGCGCCACCCGGCCTGCACCCGTGCCACAGCCACCCGACACATGCACACACATGCACAGTGCCTGCACACATGCCACAGCCACCTGACACACGCACACACCAGCTGACACACGCACACACCAGCACACCATGGGCGCCACCCGGCCTGCACCTGTGCCACAGCCGCCCGACACACGCACACACATGCACAGCGCCTGCACACATGCCACAGCCACCTGACACGCACACACACACACAGTGCCTGCACACGTGCCACAGACACCTGACACACGCACACACCAGCTGACACACGCACACACCAGCATACCATGGGCGCCACCCGGCCTGCACCCGTGCCACAGCTGCCCGACACAGGCACACACATACACAGTGCCTGCACCCGTGCCACAGCCACCCGACACACGCACACACCAGCTGACAATCGCACACTCCAGCACACCATGGGTGCCACCCAGCCTGCACATGTGCCACAGACACCTGACACACGCACACACCAGCTGACACACGCACACACCAGCATACCATGGGCGCCACCGGGCCTGCACACGTGCCACGGCCACCCGACACACGCACACACATGCACAGTGCCTACATACATGCACAGCCACTCGACACACGCGCACACCAGCACACCATGGGCGCCACCCGGCCTGCACACGTGCCACAGCCACCCGACACACGCACACACCAGTACCCACTGGCACGCACAGGGCGTCTGCATGTCGACCCTAGGAACCCTGCTGACGCGCTAGCTCTGGGGTGTCAGGGCTGTGGCTGAGCGTGTGTCTGTCTGCGAGGCCGGGACAGGCCTCTAGGAGAGAGGAGCAGCAGCAGTTTTCTGGCGTGGCGTGGCAGACGCGGTTGTCACAGCCCGCGGTTACACTCGCCCTCCAGGGGTGCTGCGCCCCCGGGGCCTGGACGTGGACTCTCTCCGTTGCCTGCCTGGCTTGCAGACTCAACTCAGCCCATGGGGTTCCAGAACTTTCTTCGGCAGAATTAGGCACAGCTGAGGGGCCAGTGGAGGGGGCCCAGGCGGGACCAGGGGGCCCGGGGGATCAGGGTCCTGGGTGACCCGGGGTGACCGTGCCTCACACAACTGGGCCTTGGCTCCAGCCGCTCCTGGCCCCTCCCCCGTCCCGCTTACCAAAAGTGATTTTCCCCTTCTCTTCGTGGTCAATGGCCTGAAACAGCTCGGTCACGGTGAGCTCCGCCACCCCCAGGGCGGTCCTGAGAATGCAGGACAGCCGGTCCTCATCCACGCTGCCGTCCTCTGGCGACCCGTACATCTGAGCGCAACAGTACAGTGTCTGGCTAGCGCGCCCCCTCCCCCCCCAGCTCCTGCCCTTCACCCCCGGCTGCCCCGGCTCTCCAGACCCTTCTAGAAGTTCCTGTATTCCACCAGGCGGCACTTGGCCGCCCCTCCCAAGGTGGACACCCAGCCTCAGGGCAGTTTGGGCCTCCCTGGGGCCCTTCTTGGTCCCTGGTGAGCTTTCTACACGCACATCTTGGCCAAAGCTTCCTTTACTTCCGTTTTGTAACAGCCCTGAGCAGTGAGAGGCAGAGGAGCTGCGGTTGAACCGGGCCGGGCTGAACGCAGCGCAGGTGGGTCGGACAGAGACAGGCCCAAGGAAGGGGAGCTTCCGGGCCACCAACGCCAGCCTGGCTGCAGAGCAGCGGGCCTCCTACCCCACCTCGTGGTCACAGCCAGAACTGCAGCTCCATGCGGCGCTAAGTGTCCGGAGCTGGGAGGCAGTAATTTTTTTTTTGTGGTTGCTCCTGGGCCTTGAACTCTGGACCTGGGCACTACTGTCCCTGAGCTCTTCAGCTCAAGGTGAGCGCTCTACCACTTGAGCAACAGCGCCACCTCAGGCAGCATTAATTTTGAAGAACAGAGTAGGGGTGTATATTTCTACATTCAAGAAAGTATTTTTTTCAGGCTCTAGTGGCTCACACCTGGAATCCCAGCTAATCAGCAAGCTGTGCTCTGACAACTGCAGTTCAAAGCCAGCCCTGGAGGACTAATCCTAACCAGCTAAAACCTAGAGGTGGAGGTATGGCTCAAGAGACAGCGCGAACCTTGAGCAAAAAAGCTGAGAGCACATGAGGCTGAGTTCAACCCAGCACCAGCACAGAAAGGGTTCTCTCTGAGAGAGAAAGTGGATCGTGGAGCTTCTGGGATATTTTATACACAATGGCCAGCACAGGCTTTTATGAATCAGCAGCCAGGCAGAGACAGCCTCGTGATGCACTGCGCCCTCGAACCCTAACGGCCCTGCGTCCCAATGTGTGCACACCCACACTCACGAGAACCCGCAGCCCTGCGTCTGTGTGCACACCCACACTCACGAGAACCTGCAGCCCTGCGTCTGTGTACACACTCACACTCACGAGAACCCGCAGCCCTGCGTCCCACTGTGTGCACACCCACACTCACGAGAACCCACAGCTCTGCGTGTGTGCACACCCACACTCACGAGAACCCGCAGCCCTGCGTCTGTGTACACACTCACACTCACGAGAACCCGCAGCCCTGCGTCCCACTGTGTGCACACCCACACTCACGAGAACCCGCAGCCCTGCGTCTGTGTGCACACACACTCACACTCACGAGAACCCGCAGCCCTGTGTCTGTGTGCACACACACACACTCACGAGAACCCGCAGCCCTGCATCTGTGTGCACACACACTCACACTCACGAGAACCCGCAGCCCTGCGTCTGTGTGCACACACACTCACACTCACGAGAACCGCACTTGCCTTGAATGCCAGCTGAATGGTGTCCAGCGTCCGGGAAGGCCTGCAGACCACAGACAAGGCCACCAGGTACTCCCGCAGATCCATCTTGCCGTCTCCACTCTGTGAAAGAGACTCTCTCAGCATCGCACACCGGAGACCCAGCGTGCCCGGCATCGCACACCGGAGACCCAGCGTGCCCGGCAACAGCTAAAAGGCCACTTGAGAATGTGAAAGGACACTTCCTAACCAACTATGCGTCCAGAGACCTCCTGTGCATGCCTCAAAACCTTACAACGGCTGGGTGCTAGTGGCTCCCACCTGTCATCCTGGCTCCTCAGGACGCTGAGATCTGAGGATCATGGTTCAAAGCCAGTGAGACTGAGCTCCAATGAACCACTAGAAAACTGGAAGTGGTGCTGTGGCTCAAGTGGTATACGGCACTCGTCTTGAGCTGAAGAACTGAGGGACAGCGCCCAGTCCCAGAGTTCAGGCCCCACAACTAAAAAACAAACAAACCCACCTCATGATGAATTCACCATCCTGGAAGAATGACTGTCACTCACCAGGGCTTGCGCACAGAAAGCCCCAGCATGCTGGGCACGGTGTCTATGCCTGTCATGTTAGCTACTTGGAGGCTGAGATCTGGAGGATCACCAACCAAGGCCAGCCCGGGGGGAGAAGTCTTTGAGGCCCCTGGTGTGGTGGCTCACACCTGTCCTAGCTGTGATAGGACCTATTTCTGTGGCCCACTTCTATGGTCTGGTGCCTCGTGGAGCGCTCGGGCAGGGAGCAGGACGCTGTTAACAGTAACCAGTAACGAAGGGCAGGAGGCATGGGCCGGCAGCACAGACCCCACCTAGCAAGCCGGAAGCCCGGAATTCCAACCCGAGCGCCAGCCGGCCAGGGCCAAGGTCATCTAGGACGTATTCCAATCATCGTGTGACCCACCCAGATTCTAGGAAGTCAGGAGCTGGTGCCCTACCTCGTCAAACAGTGAGAACATGTCTTCCAGGGTGTCGGAGACGGGGACCTCCAGGTACTCAGCGAACTCGGACAGACCGATCCTCTCCCCGCTCCTCCTCCTGGCACGTTCTGAGTATTTGTCCAGATCTTTTTCGAGTTTTTCTGGTTTTAGCCTAAACGAAAAAGAGGGAATGGCTTTTTCAGTGAAACCCGAATGCTAACGCAGGAGACTCAAGGCTGGGTTTGGAAGCTGATGTCAACGTTAAACACGTGGTCTTCAAGCAGCAAGGCGTGCCCTGTCCCTGCGTGCGGGCCCCGGTCGCGTCCAGCTGCGTGCCCCTGGCCCGCGGGGTCCTGGCTCCCAGAAGCCCCACCCGGCACAGCACCCACACGGGCAGCTGGCACCGTCACGCGATTTTTAAGGCCTCTTTCCATGTGGACTCAAGTTGATATTTGAGAAAAACAAAACAAAACAGAAAAGCAGAACAGGCCTACTCGGGACCACCCACTTCGCCGCCTCGCGTAGCCTCGGCTGCACCAGGGACAAACCCTCGGACAACGGTGGATGCGTACCCGAGACCCCGCACGAGCCTGGCGAACTCTAGCAGACAGGTGTCAGCGGGGAGCCGGAGCTGGCCTTCTGCCAGGGCCAGCTGGCAGTCCTCGAACGTGTAGTCAGTCACCGAGACACCCAAGGCCCTGGAACAGAGGGGAGGGTCAGCCGCTCCCGCAGCAGCGACTGCGCAGGGGGGCTGCGGGATGCGGGGCCACGACAGGCCAGAGGAAGCAAGCGCCCACGGCTTGACCTGCCCCTGATGCCCACGGGGAAGTGCCCACTCCCTGACCCGCTCCCGATTCCTGCGGGAAGTGCCCACTGCTTCGAGCTGCCTGAGCCTGGGGAAAGCTCGGAGCTCAGGGGCCTCAGAAACAAGCAGGTGCCCCACAGCCCCGGCTCCCACAGCCTCCCGAGGGGGAGCTGTGCAGGCCCACTGTCCACCGTCGCACGGCCCGTCCCCCAAAGGATGGCCCGTGCTTCCTCTCGGTGGATGAGGCCCTCAGGAGGCGTAACCACACCAACCATCCTAGTCAAAGTGAACGCTGAAGAAGGAAATGAGACAAATGTGGACGGAACCCCCCAGGGACACGGTGACCCGGCCCCTGACTCCCGCTGGATGCCCGGGGACACCGTGACCCGGCCCCTGACTCCCGCTGGACCCCTGGGGACACAGCCTGGGGTGGCTGACGGTTTGATATTTGCAAAGTGAAGCAATACCCGTCCTCAGGACGTCAAACAAGAGGAGACACCGTCAGATAAAAGCGGCAGGAGCTGAGGTCAGGCAGTGCCGCCACAGGCTGGCACCAGCCCGTCCCCCGGGGCAGAGCCGGCAGCTCACTCACTCGGCCATGACGCGCCGCACGTTGCTGGCGTACAGGGCGGGGCTCCTCTCCTCCTCCTTAGAAGGGTGGTACACCGGAAGGAACTGCACAAGAAAAGCTCGTCACCACGAGGCCACCACCCTGGCCGCCAGGGCCATCAAGAGCCTCAACCACCAGGCTGACAGAACTCAGCGAGAAGTTCATGAGAATCCATCTTTCCCAGGACTCTAGCCCACCTAGACCAGGGGTCGGGCCAACCGATGAAACACCAACAGAAGGACGCCAGGCCAGGCCAGCTGGCATAAAGCAAGATCCTCTGAAGCAGAGTCCCCGAGTTCAGACTCCAGAACTGCCCCCCTGAAAATCCCACAAACTGCCATGCGTCTTCTCGTTAACAGTGGCACCGAGTAAGGACACTGAGAGGCATGCTGCAAAGCCATCTCTCTTTTCTCTTAAAGTGAAAAACCACACTGACCACAGGGGGCTCACACCCGTCATCCTAGCTACTCAGGAGGCCGAGCCCTGAGGATTGTGGAGCGAAGCCAGCGGCCACGAGACTCTTTATCTCCAGCAGACTACTCAAAAAAAAGCCGGGAGTAGTGCTGCGACTCAAGTGATAGAAAGCTAGCCTTGAGTACAGAGGCTCAGGGACAGTGCCCAGGCCCTGAAAGACAAAGCAAGAAGCCAGGTCTGAACCAGCAGTCTAAATGGAGGAGGCTGCAGCCAGCCCAAGGCCAAGCTCAACCCCGGAGCTGGTGGTGCTGCCACCTGGCGGCCAACAGAAGGAACCACGGCAATGCTAAACGCAGGGCGGCCATGGGGGCTCTGCCCGGCCTTTAGCGCCCTCCGTCCTTCAGAGCCCTTCTGCGTAAGTGAACACCGGGCAGGACACCAGGCTGGGCGTCCACTGCTCTGCAAACGGCTTCCGGTGCCCAAGGCAGGCGTGCAAGTCCATCCTGTGACTACCTTTGAGGGAGGGTGTATGGAGTCAGTGTGTGCGTGCAGACGGCGTAAGGAATCACGGGCAGGGGCGCAGAGAGGGAGCTCAGCGGGTGAACGTGTACTGTGTGCACATGTGAAACACCAGGGCGACCCCAGGGGACAGGTAACACGCACCAAAAAAAAGCAACATACCCATGGGTGTGGCACCCCAGGGGTCGAATGGGAGAAGGCAGCCAGGAACTTCACATGTACGCGTAAGTGTTCCAGAGAGTGTGATCGGAGGATACTGAGCAGGTGCGAGACTACCACACTGAAACACCTTTGTACAACTTGTGTGCCCACAAGAAAGAAACAGCTTGCACCTTCCATGGATAACGCTTCAGGCTGCACTCATGATGTTTAATTCAGGTAAGAGAATGGCGTCTGGCCCCGAGAACTCCCAGGGTAAATGTTACCCAGCTAGGCAGCCCACAGGAGGGTCACAGGGTGAAGTCACTGGTGTTAGAATTAGGTACAAATAAAACCTTGCTGTGTATGTGCCAGTTTTACACGTGCTTACGCTCCAAAAGCCCCATGATGAAACAGTAGATAGGCTTAGCTTCCCTATCAGTTTTAAAAATCCTGTCTTAATGGTTCAAAACATGCAGGAAATAAAATCACTTGGGCTAAGTGGCCGGGCACGCCCCTCTAAGGGATCTAAGAAATGCAGAGATACCCAGGGAACATTTTGTTGATATCAGAATGTTACACTATTTAGCAAGGAATCAACACAGCTCCCAGCGGTGAATGCAGTTAACATTGTACCTGTACACAACACTGTATATGCTGGCCATAGCCTAACACAACACTGGGTAATGTATTCACACATCTTGATTTATAGACTTACACACACACATGCAGCTCAGTAGTTAACACAGAATCCATGCATACCTCTATCTCCACTTGGTTGTGAAACTGGCACAGTGTGAGCCACAGGATTTTCAACCTTGAAAACAGCATTGAAGATGTTCAGCTTTGGTTAAAAAGTAAGGACCGGAATTCTCGCAGGTGAATGACTCCCAGATGTGGAGCAGGTCTGAGCCCCGCTTCCCCTCCATGAGGATGGGGGGCCCCTGAGCCCCGCTTCCCTCCATGAGGATGGGGTGCTGCTGGCAGCCCGAGCCCCGCTTCCCTCCATGAGGATGGGGTGCTGCTGGCGGCCCGAGCCCCGCTTCCCCTCCATGAGGATGGGGTGCTGCTGGCGGGCCCTGAACCCCGCTTCCCTCCATCAGGATGGGGTGCTGCTGGCAGCCCCACCTGGCACCCTGAAGAGGTGACTTTCGTTCACATTAAACGTGTGTCCTTGTCTTCAGCTCTTCTAGCTACCTTCTCCTGCACGGACTCATGTTTATAATACGTCCACCCGGGGCAGGCAGACCTCAAGCCCCGCGTCAGACCATGTCCCGGGCCCCGTGCTGAGCTGAGTGCACAGAAGCAGAGCAGGCAGCAGCACCGGGCCCCGTCCTTGGCCAGCCCTCGTCTCTCCTGGGCCAGCACACCGCCAGGCCGCCTCCTTACTCACCGTGGGGTCCTGGGCATGTCTCATTTTTGGGTTGGCTCCAGGCCGGGGGCCCCACAGAGCCCCCACCCCCGCCCCGGCCTGAGCAGGCACCATGTGGATCTCTGTCATGAGCCCTCCCCAGGGTCATGCTCCACACCCTGGCGAGACCCGAGGGCTGCCGGGGTCAGCACCCTGCCCCCAAGCCCTCGGCCGGCCTCCCGCGGTCCCCTCCTCCACCCCCGACTCTGCCCTCCCACGCTCAGCTCACACACCACCTCTGGGGCCCTGAGTCGCTATCCGACCCTCACTGTCTGCACCCCAAGGGCCTCCCTGGCCAAAACGCCACTGAGCCCCACGCCAGTGTAGACGACTGGACACCAAAGCCACCTAGTGGACATTGGCAGTATGAGCGGACAGACGTGGGCGGAGTGACTGTCCCCCTGGTGCTGAGGGTGTAGAACCCGGGTCCCCGGAATCCGGGAGTCCTGTCCAAGGCCACACGAGACACTGAGGTCTCACAACGGGCTGAGCCACCGGCAAAGTAATGGGGACAGAGAATCAGCGAGCAGCCAACGCCGCCATGAAGCGAGAGGACAAAGAAGAAGAAACTCACGCTCCAGGTCCTTGCCACGTCCACGTGATGGTGTCCTGCGGGAGGAAGCAGCAGCACTGACCACGCCTGGCGTCTGGTCCGTGTGCACACGGCCTCTGCAGGCGCGCCCACCCCCACTGGCTGCACCCCAGCCCTGTGCTCACCCACCCGCCCTTCCCAGCGGGCCCGGCCTGTGCTCCGGCAGCACAGCCCAGGAACTGGGACAGCCTGCTCCTGATGGTGAGAGGCTGTGCGTGTGAACACAGGTACAGGGGAGAGACAGCCTCATTGTACAGCGTGGGGGTGGGGGTGGGGCTGCTGACGCGGCTCTAAGGCTGCGGGAACGCCGGCCCGCCTCGCTGGGCTGCTCCACAGGGGAATGGCAGCCCACGCCCTGAAAACACGCAGGCCCCACCCCTCTCTCCGTGTCCCGGGACCCAGGACGAGAGGACATACCAGTTTGTTTGGATACCGCAACACCACGGGCTGCACGGGGACTCCGGGAATGAAGGCACCTGGGGAAGGAAGGTCAGCCTGAGGCGGCGGGAGGGGCCCTCGCTCACCCTTCCTGCAGCCTGGAGACACTGGGCTTTTCTGGCGGGCCCTTCCTGGTCCACCCCTGCGCTCAGAGCGCCGGGCACTGCACCCTGTACTACCTCCGCCTGAGGCCCACCGGCCCACAGTGACGGGCACCCACGGGCTGCGCGGGATGGAGCGGGCACAGGGAAGGCACAGGCCGGCCCCGCAGGCTCCCTCCTGGGCAGGGTGACAATTTCCTCTCAGCTGGAGTCTCACCTACCGCCCAGGGCTTAGGCCTGGAGACACCTTTGCTCGCGCCCACCAGACCCAGGCCGGCCTCCGGCTACGCAGCCAGCCGCAGCCCCTGAGGACCCGCCATCCCGTGCTGGTGCGCCGACAGCCAGGACGCACGTGCTGTTCACAGAAGCCTACCTCTGTGAGTCTGTCTGTGCTGGAGACAGACTCCTCACAGCGTGCGGGCTGGCCCATCCCGAGGGTCTGGGGGCCAGCGGCGCACCGCCATGCCCAGCTTTATACTTAGGTCTTATTTGAAGTTCCTTCTCTTCTTTTCCTACTAGGACCAGATCTGCCATGGACACTGCAGCAGGCAGCGGGCATGGTCTCTGGCTACTCTACCCAGGGGCGGGCAGCGGACCTGGATGCGGCTGGGCAGTACTGCGTCTCCCAGGGAGCTGGCGCACGCTCCTCCCTGAGCCGCCCGTAGCGGCTCTGCCACACGCTGCCATGCCGGCCTCACTACCCCCAGCAGCCGGGGGCTGCTCCCGGGGAAGCAGATGTTTGCACAGGGGAGCACCGCATGGCCTGCCTGGATGGAGACCAGGGACCACGTGTCTCCTCCTCTGTCCGTGGTGAACAGTCCTGGAGCCCCCCAGCCGGGTCGTAGCCACACCCCGGTGTGCGGCCTTCCCCTCCTCCATCACCACGCCCTGCCCCGAGCACTCTGCTCAGAGCAACTGAGCAACTGAGGCTGGGTTGCAGTGATGGCCAGACTACCCCCTGCCCACCAAGGCCGCCCTGCCCTCCCCTCCACGGATCTGCTCAGGACCCTAGAACTGCCCCCCCCCCTCCAAGAGCTCAGAGGGGCCCGAGGTTGGCCCACCCTGCATGCAGGCAGCACAGCGGCACCCAGACAATTCTCTGGCAGCACTGTGTGGTCTGGTGCCGCCCTGGGAACACTTCACAAGGCCCAGCACAGGAGAAAGGCAGGAAGAAGGGAAAACTGGAGACGAAGCCCCTCCAGCCCCTCAGCAAACCCGGCAGTCAGGACAGGACTCTGTCCTCACAAGGCGGCCAAGGCCAAGGGCAAGACCCCAACACGAGGAGCAGGTCTGAGGGGGGTGCGCCGGTCCCTTCTCCCCGAGACAGCACAGAAGGGGCTGAGGGGCCTGAGAGGCAGAGCGCAGGCCGGGAGGACCCCGTGCGAGCGGCGGCCCTGAGCTGTCCTGAGCCAGCGCCTCACACCAGGGCCACAGCTCAGAACAGAGACGGCCATCCAACTTCCACTCCTCGTCCAGGCACTGCGCTCCTTGGCTCTGAGCTAGGACTTATTCTGTGACTTTTCTTAGAAATACCTCCAAGAATCCCAGCATAAAGAACAATAGGGATATTTTAAAAGGTTATTGGCCTATGACACGATTTATAGAGACAGTGCTTTAATATTTCCCCTTCCTGGAGAAGAAAAGTAATGAAGAAAGCTACCTACCAGGTTTGAAGGTGATCAGGCAGGTCCTATTTGTACAGGTTCCTTCTGGAAAAATCATTATCTTGAAGTGAGAAAAAGAAAGTCAGCACAAAACCATCATAATCACAATCTGGGGTCCAAAGGCAGCATCTTGCCACGCTGCTCCGTGCAGGGACTCTGCCTGCGTCGGGCCTGGAAGCTGAGTGCCCGGAGACCACAGCCCTCACCAGCGGGACCACCGCCCAGTGACACAGAACACGCAGCCCTTATTCTCACTAAGTGTAGCAGGTTTGGTGGCTCACGGCTATGTCCTTAGCCACTAGGGGTTGGAGAAGTTTATCTGAAAAGTAAAGCAGAAAGTGTGTGCTAAAGTGGTGAGTGTCTGCATCGCGTGTAAGTGTGAGGCCCTCACTTCAAACTCTAGAACGGGGAGGGGGG